GCAAGAGGCACGCTAGAAACCGGAGGTGCATAATAAGGCTCCTGAGGCCTAAGAGGAGCTAGAGCACTACTGGCTACTAGAAGAGTTGAATGAACAGGATGACTCATATAACCCCTACCATGACGACCTGCAGCTGGGGTACGGGCTCTAGAATAATTGCCCGACTCTCGAGACCTCTTGGCCTCCCTTTCCTCTCTCTCCCTAGCATGCATACCCTCAATCCTCCTACCAATGCTCACCACCTGCTGATAAGAAATATCCATCTCCAACTCACGAGCCATGATAGACCTGATGCTTGGAATAAGGCCCTCAATAAACCAACGAACTCTATCGCATACAGTAGAAACCAAGGTTGGTGTATGCCTAGCCAAACTAGTGTAACAGACAGCATACTTTAAGACAGTCATAGCACCCTAGCACAAATGCTCAAACTCTGCGCGCCATGCGTCTCTGAGGATCTAAGGAACATACTCTCTCAAGAACAGATTTGAAAACTGAGTCCAAGTCAGTGAAGCAGCCTCATCTGGACTGTCTAACTCATAGGTGCGCCACCACTCATAGGCGGCTCCTCAAAGCTGGAAAGTAGTGAAGGAAACCCCGCTCGATCTTGATATACCCATGGTACGAAGAATACGGTAACTCTCATCCAGAAATCCCAGATCATCCTCCGATGCTAGACCGCTGAATATAGGAGGTTTGTACCTCTTGAACCTCTCAAGCCTCAGTTGATCCTCCTTAGAAGTCGCTGCCTTGTCCTCGGGTTGAACTGGCACTGTAGGCGGTACAAGAATAATCTCAAGGACATGCTCAACATGCACTCGCTACTCAGGAGTCTGGGCGGCAGGAGTCCGGGCTCCTCCCCCAGCCTGAGATATAGCTGCAGCAAGGGAAAGCAACCCTGCCTGAGCCAGAGTGGTGTACATGCTTATGAACTGTGCCAAAGTCTCCTAAAGAGCTGGAGTAGTAGTAGCAGTAGAAGTGTCAGGTGCCTGGACTCCGGTTGGAACTACTGGTGGTACCTCGGCGGTAGTTTGCGTAGGTGCTCTGGCTACACCACATGTGTGTCCTCGGCCTCTACCCCGGCCTCTAACAGCTGCAGTAGGGGGTGCGGGTGCCTGACCATCTCGGGTAGCACGTGTCCTCACCATATGTGAGAGAATAAAAGACAGAAGTTTAGAATTGTGATGTCAAATATCGCATGATAAGGAAATCAAATGAAGGTGAATTTTCCTAACAGTTACATAGCCTCTCGTAGATAAGTACAGACATCTCCATACCAATCAGTGTGACTCTAATAAACCGGCTTGTGATCCATGACTCCTATGAACCTAGAGGTCTGATACCAACTTATCACAACCCCCGGTTCGCCCTCCGTGAACCATCGTGACGTTACCTAGTCTCTACGACTAGGTAAGCCTAATATGCAGAACATAAACCAAATTTGTGGAAGAAAACAATTTAAAATAGAAATAGAGTAGTAACAGTGTTTAAATGTGTCGTTCGGCTTACACCATGTTTAACTCTCAATACCAAAACATAAATCCAAGACCCGAAAACCCACGAATCATAAGCTAAGATCAATACTACATAGCTCTAACTCCGAAATGTCTAATAAGAACAGAAAAATACATAAGGGCTAAATAATAAAAACAGGAATAGAAAGGGACTTCTCGGTCTGCAGATGCGGTAGATGTACCTCGAAGTCTCTAAAGTAGTCGCCTTCTCAAGGATGATAGGCCTAAGTAGCGGTACATGGATCTGCACATGAAAGACTTGTGCAGAAGGGGCATGAGTACACTACAGTGGTACTCAATAAGTGCCAAGCCTAACCTTGGTTGGGTAGTGACGAGGAAGGTCAGGGCCCTACTGAGGTTAAATAAAATATAAAGATGACAGGATAAGATAAGTGTCACGACCCCAATTCGGACCTAGTCGTGATGGCACCTCTAGTGAAGGCAAAACCAGCCGACACAGTTCCCAAATTCAGTTTTAACATCTACATAAATCAATTTAAGTCATTTATAAGGATAAATCCCCAACAAGTATAGACTTAGCAAAATAAAACAAATTTGAAAATGAATACAGCCCAACATCGGGGTGTCACAAGTCAAGAGCATCTACTAGGGTCTAAATACAACTGAAAAGTCTGAAATGTACAAAATACAGACTAATAAAATGAAGAGGGAGAAAAGCGGTGTTGTGTACGATGGCAGCTACCTTGCTAAACTCCGATGATTCTGCCTCCAATCAGCCAATACCCGCTACCCAGTGCAAGAATACCTGAATCTGCATACAAGGTGCAAGGAGTAAAGTGAATACTCCAACTCAGTGAGTAACAATCATAACTAAAGTCGGAATGGTAAAAAATCACAAAAACGTGCATCAACATGCTATATAGAAGCAGTTCAAAAACTAGTAAGAAAGTAATGAAGTTGTAAAATATCTTAAAAGTATCTTAGCTCAGTTTAAACTTCTTTGAAAATGACTTTTCCAACAGTTACGCAAATAAATGCAAAACAATTAGTGCAGATAAGCACAGACATCCGCCCCACGGGCACAAATACACAATTAAATAGGTGAATGACATTGCCTGCACGAATAGACCTCCGGATGCTCCAAATCTAGCCACAATTGGTACATAATCATTAAATATGCAAAGGGAACGAAGCCCACTCGAAAATATCCAATTTACATCAAANCGGAGTCCAAATGACCCCTCAAATCCTCATTTAAAGGACTAAATTTCCAAGCCCTAGTTCTTCAATTTTTGGCTTAATCTTCATGATTTTCTAGGTGGAATTCACATAATAATCGAGTTTTCAGTCCGAGAATCTTACCTCCAAGTGATTCCCCTTGATTTCCTCTTCAATCTCCTTCAAAAATCTCCAAAAATGACTAATTATGGAAGAAATAAACCCAATCCTCACGGACAAGACGAGTTTAAAAACCTTCTGCCCAGGCATAATTTCCTTCATTGTGATCGCGAAACAACCTTCGCGATCGCGAAGCACAAATTCTCAGCTCCCAAAACTTACTCTATGCGACACGAAAAACACTATGCAAATGCAATGCTCAAGCTCCCAACTCTATGGGATCACAGACTAGCTACCGCGTTCGCAATGAACAACCTCCATCCAAGACCCCTGGTCCGCTCAACCCTATGCAAACACGACCACCTCCCCGCATTCGCAATCAACAACTCTACCACCTCAATGCGATCGCAACTCCTCCTTTGCGAACGCAAAGACCAAAATGGACTACCCCTCAAAAGCTTCTATGCGATCGTAGGAACCGATTGCAAAGAAGGAATCTCTGCAACAGCTGAACCTGCAATTCTGCACTTCTCTAAGGCATGAAATGGTCCGATTGACCATCCGAAACTCACCCGAGGCTCCTGGGACCTCAACCAAAGGCACCAACATATCCTAAAACCGGATTCAAACTTGTACCAATCTTCAAAACACCTCAAACAACATCAAATCAACCAAAACACATCGGATTCAAGCTTAAGTTTCCAAAATCTTCCAAATTCCGCTTTTGATCAAAAACCTAACCAAACCACGTCCAAATGAACTAAAATTTTGCACACACATCCCCAATGACACAACGGAACTATTTCAACTTTCGAAATTTCATTCCGACCTCTATATCAAAATCTCACCTATCAACCGGAAAATGTCGAAATCTCAATTTCGCCAATTCAAGCCTAAACCTTCCACGGACTTCCAAAATGCATTCCGATAATGCTCCTAAGTCCCAAATCACCTAACGGAGCTAACCAAAATATAAAAATTCCAACCGGAGATCATATACAAACAAGTCAAATCTTGGTCAAACCTTTCAACTTTTTTAAGCTCTAAACTGGGAACTGTTCTTCCAAATTCATTCTGCTTAACCTGAAACCAAAACCAACGATTTACATAAGTCATAGAACACCACACGGGGCAAGTCATGCCCGAGAGCTGACGATCAAAGTGCAAAAGCTCAAAACGACCGGTCGGGTCGTTACATCCTCCCCCACTTAAACATATGTTCGTCCTGGAACGTGCCCAGAGTTGTTCCAAAGCCAACCAATCGCTGAATAACCTTACCGTGCATATACCCGGGGGTGATCCCATGTCACCCTATCTCATATAGGTCTGATAACACAATGCAACTGAAATTTCACAATCCAACCTAGCCCATAAACCTTAGAACTGCATTTCCACTCTTGAAACTACCCACAAAATCCAAATCCACTACAACAAAAAGGGGCTTTAGCGGCAATAAAAAAGGGCATTGGCGGCAATAACAATAGCCGCTATATCATTTACCAGCCATTGATGTTTAGCCGCTGAAATCAGGGTCAGCAAAGCCTTTAGCGGCATTTCTCACAAAAGCTGGTAAAAGGTCTGACTTATTGCCGCTAAATATCATTTGCTTTAACGGCAATTGTTTGCGGCAATTATGATGGCTGCTAAATCCAATCTAAAATGGCTACTAATTCTCTTTTTACGTCCATTTTTATAGCCGCTAAATTAAAAATAATTGTCGCTAAAGGCCCACATCTTTAGCAATAATTGTTTTGCGGCAATTAGAATGGCTATAATATTCCTTCTGAAAACGTACTGGTATGCCCTTTTAGCATCCATTTTAATGACTAATAAATTCAATTAAATTTCTGCTAAAAGTCATCTTTAACAACAATTATAATGGCTACAATATCCCCTGTAGAAACACTATAATTTGCCCTTTTATCGTCTATTTTTATAACCAATATATCTTGTTAAATTGTAACTAAAAGTCACAAGCTATAACGACAATAGTTTAGCCACCATTAATAATAGCTACTACATTCATTCAAAAAATTATCCAAATAATAAAGCATAATAATATCAATTCATAAATACATAATGTATTTCATTAAATCTTAAAAAACAAAAAGGAAGTACTAATCCAAAAGATTAATATCACAGTAACTTAAAAAAACTTATATTGTTAGAAGATAATAGCTAGTGCCATTATATAACTAATCCTAACAAATAATAGTCTTCAAACAGTTTATGCAATGCTTCATCATATGGAGATCTTCCGCCCGCTAAATTATCGATCATCAGACTGTATGACCTGAAATTATAAAATAATTATGCCAATAGGTGAAATATAATAGTCTTTAACTGGGATGTTTATCGAGCAAAAGTATTAAATTCATATATCATGGAATACATTTTTGATTTAGAGGAAAATAAGTGCCTTAATAATAGATTTTATAAGTTAAATAGAGCTCAGACTAGTTGGACTATCTGATTGGCTTTTACAAGTATATGATTGTAGTACAAGTATACAACCACTATTATTCCTCAATCTCATGCTACTTGGAGCTTGATTTATAAATCACTCACTATTCATTTGGACTCTTAATAGAAGCAAATTTTTATCAACATAGTGCATGCGTGATTCAAGCTTCTAGCTTCCTCTATTTCAAGAAAATATCCTTATAAACTTCCAGCTTCCACTAGCACTGATCTCCTCTTGTCCCATATATAGATGAATTATCAAGTATTCAAATTTGACTATATCAAGTAAATCAGGAAAAAATTCCCTACAAACTATATAGGAGAAACAATCTTTAGTATATCCATAACAATGATAGATTTTTTTACAACTCAAAAACAAATAACAAAGAAGAGTAAGCTAAAACAATCTGATAATACCTGAACATAGAAGAACATGGGACGGTTGGGCACAGGCCACGTGAAATCAATGCATGTTGATTGCCTTTCATTGATGGTTTGGAATGTAAATTCATAAAAGCTATTTGATGGAAACTCAGATAATGCAGGATGCATACGGTTTTGTACCTGGAATTGCAAACAAATAGACAACATAATCAACATTAGTAATGGAATACAATAATTCTGATGCTTTCAGATTTAAAAAATAGCTAAATAAAGATAAACAATACTTTAAAAGAGGAAGTGACCCGGCAACTCTAAGTCCAAGGAAACAAAACAAAAAAACGAGATGAGCTAGAGGGGATTAACAATTATTGCTTGGCAAGCAAATAAAAGCAGCTAGAATGAGAAGCGTAGATACTACATGAAGCACAGAAAAATCAGAAAATATTAAAACTAGCATGATTTGTTGCAGCTCCGCCACACAAAAAGGGTATGGGGAAATGGCGGATTAGTAAAGAAGAGTTAAAATACCAGGAACATCTTACTCCACAATCCCCCCCCCTAAATAAATCAGCAAAGCAGACTTCTAAGTCTTCATATGACTAAAAAACACTTTTAATCACTATGTCAACTATATGGGAAACAAGAGAATAACTGAAAAGAGAGAATCTCAAATTTAACTTCAGCCACTGCCAACCCTGATAGACAAGTTAACACATCAACAGACAGGCAATCACCTGTAACGCACAAATAGAGATTGAGCAAGTCTAGCATGTGTCTCTTTCTTGCACATAATGACCGGTCCAAGCTGGGCAGTGATCACCAACAAAAATAGCCTAGCACAAAACTCACAGTAAGATCCAATATCGTAATATACTTCAGTATGACATTTTTGCATAAAGAATGTCAACGTGACATTAAATGCAATAGTGACCTATTTTGTGCTAAGAACCAAAGGAATAAGATATTCAAGCTCAGTAACCTGAGTGGATTCATCATAAGCACCTACCAAGACGTTTAACATGACAGAAACATTAAAACAAGCAAGAATCCAGAATGAGTACATGAGAACAAAAATACTGAAGATCTAAAATAGTTAGGAAATTCTCAAATCTTTAGTAATAAGGTAAACCAACCTGATGGAATCTGAAATTAGCCAATCTAGGATATCCAGCACCAATACATGTGTAGCAAATTACATTAACACTCTGAGTTATTTCCCTCTTTGTTTCCCACTTCAAAGCTTTATATTTCTTCTCATAACTCCTAGAGAGCTCTCCCGAAAATTCATAAATCAAATGACTCTGAATCATGAGCACACATTTAAAATGCTCTAATAAAGGATATATAATGAGAATGAGAAAAAAAACCGAGTACTACGCTAAAAGTATAACCATGTAAATGCTAGATCCCCCCAATACATATGAGGCCAACGAAAATCCAGGAAAGCAACACAAACCTTGTTCATCCTTCAGTTGTTGTAACTTGTACAGTTCACTCTTCTCACATGTGTCAATATGGCGAACCTGTATAAAGAAAAGTGTACAAGATATCATTAAAAATAGAACGAGATATAAGAATTTGAGGAAAAAAAATTAAAAAACTAACCTGGTATTGAAGGGTTAAATGCTCGACAGGAGAACTGACAGCTTCCCTTGACTTGGCACTGAGCCTGACCACCTGGAAAAAAAAATTATATGAGGAAGGACATAAAATTGTCACAAATTAAAGAAAAAGTGGAAGATAGAAGTTTAGACATTAAAAGAAGCATCTTAATTAACTGAAAGATACTTTATATTGGAAATATTTATCAATATAGTGTAACTGCCTAAAATAATAACATGACTAGGCACATATTTTCTTGTTCTTTTTGAACTTTCAGTCGTTCATAGTCATAAGCATCCTGGACTTTTCAAAATTTGCTTACAAGCTCCCCAGATGTTGTAATAGCTAGCATAAGGTTATGATGAAAGCATAAACCATATATTCCTTCACATGTTTTAAACTATTAACTTGTAAATCAATAATTCCTTCACTTAATAAACTACCAATCCCTTCTAACATTGATGTACAATAAAGGAGGCTAGACTATTGTTCATGCATTTAAAATCAAGAGAATGTGTCCATCATGTCTATAAGTGAAAAATATTAGAGCAAACAACTATTGTTAGAAGGAACACTTCCCCATCATGGTTTAGAAGAATGAATTATATGAAACTATTTCACAAATAAAAGATTGAGTTTTATAGTTATCTGTTTTCCATTCCATAAAAAATTAAGCATAAGTTAAAAAGGAAAAGAGCTTATGTTAACATATTTAACGCAAGTGCAACATCATGAGGTTGAGGTATTTTCAACAATACTTTGTAACTGAAATGTAATCCATGGTACTTGTGGTGCTTGTTTATAGATACTATTGGCATAAGAGACTTAATATATGTAGAACATGCTAGAAAATATAATATTCTGAAAATAAAAGACCATATAAGATCTTTATGGAACTGAGTAAAGTTACATTTCATACTTATATGGTATATGCTTATGTGTCTAAAGATATATGTACTTCTTAGTAAGATCACAGTCCATGATGTATACATGTTGTAGTAAAATAAAATACCCAAAACTGGTTTAAAACTGTAAGTTTATGCCATAAGAAATGTTTTTCCATCATATTTATAAACCTCATTTTTTAAATAGATTCAAAATGGTACAAACCACAAAGACAGAAAACCGCAGATATATTATAATAAGATGTTCATGTCATTCGCATGTACATTAAGGTCAAACAATCAATCCAATCCAATCTTCAGAATATATGCACATAAAGTGTATCATCATGTAAAAAAAATACAACTTACAACCATCAATTCAATAATCAGCTTGAATAAGGTAGAATGTAAGTAGAGTGATTTACTCTTGACTCCATCAAGAAAAAGATAATTGTATCTCACAAAGCCAAACAAAAACAGAGAGAAATCTAAACCACGACATTGTTTACTTACCTATCATAACCATGGTACTTTCATGCTAAATACTTATTCAAAATATTATTGGTTTTTGAAAGAAAATATTTTTCTGATATTTCTCAAGCAATTCATAGTTATTGAGAAGATCAAATGGAGGCAGGGTACCAACCTGCTATATTAAGGTCATATGTGATTCATACTTACCACATAAGCTTGATGTCAGCTATCAGCTATTATGTTACTCATTAATTGAAAAGGCTTCTAAGATAATTGAGAGATAATATTTTATTTTAACTTATCTGAAGATTAAGTATTAAAACTATGTCACCATGTTATTATATAGACATGAATTACCACAACCCATATCAGCTATATGAAAACCAAGACGCTCATTTTATTAATAATGAAAAAGAGTGAAAATCTTTAGCATATAAATATCATGTAGATTTCTTTTGGAGGGAGCAAGAAACAAATTTATCTGCTTTCCCAACTTTACTTTTTCTTTTCCAACTTATCAAAACTAAATATATTTTCCAAGTCATTTTAAACACCTGAAAAGCTAAGGTCCAATATTTCTCTTTACAAAATTTTGTAAAGTGCCATATTGAATAAGTAAATTATTAGTCTTCCACTGCTTGACAATAGCAAAAGATTAATACATTTACTTGAAAGGATAGTTAGAATTGTTTGGAGAGAACAAGTAAATTACCATTCTATTTCCATATATTCTTCATAATAATAGTGTAATTACTACTAAAAAATATTTAAGAATCTAATTCTATTGATAGTGCATATGATACAAAATTAAGCCAAAATGATGAGTGGCAAGTAATTTACTAGTATAGTTATTACAAAGGAAGAAAATGCAATCCACACATCTATTCTGAATTTTTTAGTTTACATTCCAATTTATCAAGGGTTTCTAATTCGTGAACCCTAGAGCATGCATAAATACCAAATTTGCAGTAGTAACCCAACCTCATCACCACTTCCATCCCCCCTGCTAAGATTTTCTGAATTTTTTAGTTTACTTTCTAATTTATCAAGAGTTTTTAAATCGTGAACCCTAGAACATGCATAAATACCAAATTTGCAGTAGTAACCCAACCTCATCGCCACCTCTACCCCCTGCAAAGATTAGGTCACAAAATATTAATCTACAACTTTTTACATATTTCTTCAACCTTCAATTCCTCTAAACCCAATCTAGTTCCCTTCTCTATGTTTCCTCACATACTCTATCAGAATCATATCTCACAAATTAAAATCGCAGAATAGAGATAGAGAGTGGAGAGAGATATGATGGGTTACCTGGATATGGTGGCCGACAATGTTGAAATCGCGATAAATTGGGGCTCGTGATGGAGAAATACATGAGTTAGTACTTGGTTGGCGGCGATGAAATTTTTTGCAATTGGATCATCAGTTTGAGAAAGGAGAGTCATTTTAGTTATTTTATTCTTTCCAAATTTTCCTAGTTGGGTCTGTTTTCTTATTTTTAGGGAAGAAATGGGAGGGAATGACCAAAGGTTATAGGCGGCAAAATGAAAAGCTTTGGAGGGAAGAATAAATCGGTTATCTACTACTATTACCTATTACATGCCTTTATATTCAATTGCCAGTAAAGATGTGTTTTTATGGCTAATGCTCATTTACCGGTAATAATTTGGCGTAGGAAATGAATTATCGGCAATTAATTTATCGCAGCTAAATAGTGGCCACTAAAAGTAATTTTTGTAGTAGTGATCTCACATCCATACTCTGCACAAGCCCGAACAAGCTGTAATAAACCATACCTGCTATCTCAGGTGCAATCACATGATATACCACATAACTCAAACACTTGTAGTGATAACTTCTAATCACATCAGCTGCGCACAACACCTGAATACCGATAGAAAACTCTTATCACTAAAGTCTCATTCCAACACTTCCATATGCTGCAAATGATCATGAAACACATAGTAAAGTATAACCCTTCTCTCAGATCAATCATTCATGAAGTCACCTCTCCTTTGGCAAAGACTATAGCAAATTTTTGAGCCGAATCTCGATATTATCCTTCCAACATGCTGAGATCGAATCCGTTCGTATTCATTAAAGATCCCAACGATCTCATCTAGTCCAACACAACTACCCTGGTGACATGACATCTCAATATAAACTAATGCCACGACTTGCGCAATACGCGCACAAATAAGCAACAATCCGAACATACTCAAATCATGAAAATGACTCAAATGAAAAAGTTGTACTGCAAGCTCACCAGTATAACCACAACACAAGGCTGAGAACCCGTCTCACATCATAGAAATAGAATATACGAATCTAATCCGCAAGGTCATACCTCTACATAACTTCACTGCAAATGCGCGATCCTATACAAACACTGCTCCACATGACACACCTCAAGTCACTCTGCTCGAAATTGACGACCACGCTCAATTGATGTCTAGAACCACAGTAAATCATCATAACCACGGTAAAGCAAATACATAACACCACACAACTCGAAAGGACATAACCGATGTGCCATCCGCCAAGCAATATCCAATACTCTTCCCACTCGAATTCTACTAGGAGACCCCAATAACACCACACCACATGTGCCGATAACCAACAAATCCTAACGCCTCGCAACACGGAAAGGTAACTCATAGATCTCCCCAGATTACTGATAAGCTCAATACAGTCGAATCAACACATCCCTCAACAATACAAGCCGACTCAACCAAGCCGACTCAAGTTAGAACACGCATCCACATTGGCCTTCCAACGAACTCCTTATCAAGGAAACCCCAAGCTGCTCCTTCCACTCCTACAACTCTGTCGGTGCCATACGATACGGTGCCCGGCATCAGATCAATTCTGAAATCAACAACCTTGCCCGGCGATATGCCCGACCATAAGAAATACATCCGAAAAGTCCCTCACCACCGAAACTGAATCAATGGTAAAAGCCTCTGCACTGACATCCATCACAAAACCCCAAATAAGAAAGACAATCCTTCCCAGCCGTCCGCTGGGTCTTCGAAATATAAAACTACTCTACTAGGACATAATCCGTCGAACCTCGCCACTCATTTCGTGGAATTTCCAGCTTAGCCAACAGCGTCGCCTTAGCGCAATAGTCTAGAATGACACAACATGGAGACAACCAGT